ATTTATATATTTCATACTATATATCTATCAAAACTTCCCCCGCAATTTATAGGATACAAAGATCATTTATCATTTTATTAGTGAACAGTCCCAACAAATCGATTATGATATAAAATTTTGTACAGAACTCGTGGAAATTAAAATACAATATCCAATCAAACAATAATGCATGTTAGACAAACCAAATATAAGACAATTGAATTATGACCTAACTTTATTAATTTATTATTTAGTGTATAATTCACAATTTTTAAATTTCAACTAGCCAACGTAGCTCTTAGGACACATTTGCTTAGACAATAGAACATTTCCTAGTTCATCATCATATATATATATGCATCTATATTGAAGATAGGAACAACGTACCCTGCTTAATTAAACAAGAAAAAATGGAAGTGGGCAAGCAACAAAAGCATTTTGTACTAACACATGGTGCATGCCAAGGAGCTTGGGTATGGTACAAGGTTAAACCGCAGACCGAGGTGGCCGGCCACTGGTTCACAGCGGTGAACCTTGCGGCTTCCGGCATCAATCCGAAGCAACTAGACGATGTCCGGTCACTCCACGACTACACATTACCGTTGTTGGAGGTCCTGGAGGTGATTCCTCAAGGTGAAAAGGTGATACTAGTGGGACATAGCGGTGGTGGCATGAGTGCTGCTCTTGCTATGGAGAAGTACCCTGAGAAGATCTCTGTAGCCGTCTTCCTCAATGCCATCATGTCTGATAGCACAAATGGGCCATCCTATGTTCTCGATAAGTATCATATTCATGATTTACAGACAGAAAAAATAAGATGATCACATTATACATTCATGTGAGGTCTATATATGACGGCGTCTTATTAATTTCTTTTCTTATTACTCATTTGCCTCAGCACACGTAAATATATACAATGGATCAATATGGGATTTAGAATAGATTCTGATTTAATATTTATCATTATTTGAATAAAATTAATCAAGTAAGGACCCATTGTTAAAAAGTATATCAACGTTATATCCTATGATTAGGAAATTTTTGTTGTCAATTTTGATTCCCAATTTTATATATATATATTTTCCTCTAAAAAGTATGCTGGAGGGACTCCACGAAGCCTGGATGGACACACAGTTTGCAGCATTTGGTGACCCCAATGAACCTCTAATATCATTGGCTGTAGGCCCCAAATTCATGAATTCCACCCTCTATCATCTTGCTCCATTGAGGTAAGCCCCTAATCTCTCTCTCTTCACACACACACACACACAAAGTAAACACGTGTACATGTTACAACAAATTTGGAACCAAATCGGAATTAGTTCAGATGATATGAGATCTCTCAATAAACGGGAAGTTTAAGTGTTTGAATCTTGTTAGGGGCAAGTTGTTGGGGACATCGGTTTTAATTATTTGTATTTTTTTTTTCAACAAGATTATACATCGGGAACATTGTTGGTAAGGCCAGGATCATTATTCATGGAAGATTTACATAAGTTGGATAAGTTCACGATTAAAGGATTCGGATCAGTTTCGCGAGTTTATGTTGTATGCACTAAAGATAAAACGACACCGGTGGAATTCCAGGATGATCGAAAACAACCCGGTGAAAGAGGTGAAGGAGATTGAAGGTGCAGACCAAATGCCAATGTTTTCAAAGCCAGACCAAGTATGCAAGTGTTTCCTAGAGATTGCAGGTGAATACAATTGAAAGAAAAACAGGGTTCTTCACCAACCTTTTTGTTGTCAATTGTGAAGCTGTTAATAATTAATCTGTTACTGTTTGCTTTGTAATTTCAATTAAGGTACATTTGTGGTCACCCCACAATGCTGTCATGAAGTTGAAATTAATAATATAATGCATCATTATTTCCTTTGATTTACACTGAAGCTGTAATTTCTTTCCATAGGGAAAGTTACCTGCATTCGTGGAGTGTCAGGGAGAAAAGATTAGAGATAATTCCATAAAAATGGAGTTTTGGGGTCAAAAGACAAAAGAATGAAGTCAAAATCTAATTTTCCAAATTAATGGAATTTTATGAAAGTCTAACGTTGACATGAAAAATTATTATACATCATCTTTTTTATTCCCAAAATACCCTTCTATTATTGTTATTTAATTATGTTACTACCCCTCTCATATTTAGAGAGGGAAGAGAAACACATTTATACCAATCCTCTCAAATTCTCCTTATCCATCTGCTCCTCTTTTCTCAAACTCTCGAAACACACTGTCAAAATCACTGTAAAAAGAATAAAGTCAAAATTCACTTTTCTGTTCATTTTCTTTATAAATCATCAGTTCTCAATGTAATTTCCTTTCTAACTTTGATTTCCCCCTCTATTTTACTTATTTATTTTTATATATCTATATACTCTGAAGATCTTGAATTTGGTAGTGGTTGTGAGAGAGAATCAAAGATTGTAATATTAATTAGTGTCGGTTTAAATGGCAATTTTATTTGTTTAGTAAATTTATTTTAATAATTGTGAAACTTCATTATTTTAATAAAAAAAATTACATTAAAATAAATAAGTAAAATAGAAATAAATAGAGGGGGAAATCAAAGTTAGAAAGGAAATTACATTGAGTCTTAGAAAGGAAATTAAAAATAAATAAGTAAAATAGAGAAAAAAATCAAAGTTAGAAAGGAAATTACATTGAGAACTAATGATTTATAAAGAAAATGAACAAAAAAGTGGATTTTGACTTCATTCTTTTTACAGAGGAGCTGCTGGTGAAGGAGAGTTTGAGAGGATTGGCATAAATGTGTTTCTCTTCTCTCTATAGATTTGAGAGGGTTAGTAGCATAATTTCATAACAATAAGAGAAGGTTATTATGGGAATAAAAAGATAATGTATAGTAATTTTCCATGTCCACGTCAGACTTACATAAAATTCCATTAATTTGAAAACTTGATTTTGACTCCATTCTTTTGTCCTTTGACCCACAAAATCCCAGTTTTATGGAATTATCCCAAAAGATTAATAAGAATTAGTAATTCATAAGATATATTTTTTCATGAAATATGTACATGAAGAAAATATTATATTGTCAATTAATCAAGATGGATTTTGTCGGAACAATAAGATTGCTTCATTATGACTTGAATATTATGAATTTGAATTTGTAGTAGATCGAGGATTCTGTGCTAACCCTAGTAATTTTGTCAATTAATCCATCAACCATTGTCAATAGGGATGACAATTCGTGTTCGTGGGTCATAATCGTGCCGTGTCGATTTAAGGGTATTTTACTAAACAGTTCAACCCAACTCCTAACACGATTATTAAACGGGTTACACGTGTAACTCGTTTAATGACCTGTTTAATAAAATTAAATATTTTATTACTTAAATTGTTAATAATACTCGATCAAACATTAAATACTAGAAAAATATAAGTTTCAATCCAACCAAATTACTAAATAGTCTCTAATTTACAAAAGAATAAATTATAAGATACAATTTTAAATAGTTATTTTGAAACTTAAATAGAAATTTGCTTATGATATGTGTAGTTAAACGGGTTGAACTTCTCAACCTAAATACGATACGATTAACTAAACGAGTTAATTATGTTGACCTGTTTATGACCTGAACCCGTTTAAGATTAATTCAAATTCGTTTAACTCGTATCGTATTCGAATCGTGTTGACGAGTCATGTCAAACTTTGTCATTCCTAATTGTCAGGCTCCAGCTAACCTAACCAACCATTATATATATCCTTTCATATATAACACACAGGCGTTCAATCTGTGAGCCAGGTAGACATTACAGTTTTTATTATATCAATGCTTTATTGTGTGGACCATTGGTGTACTCAATGGCTCTTTATTCTGTCGTCAGTCTTGGTAAGTGTTTGGGGTTTGTGAGGTTTGTTTCTACGACGTCTCTAGAGTTGCGTGATATTGTACAACACTTCAGTTTTTCTAAATTTCTGGTCATTTTAAATTATCATCTTCCGCTTGATATTCTGGATTTGGCAGTCAAAGGTTGTTTGTGTTGATTTTGGTAGTCTTTGTTTGCCAAGGAAATAAAAAATAAAACTATCATTCAACTATTGTCTATCACCTGGGCCCACAGGTACATTATTTTCCATTTTTACTCTCTTTGGTGAGGGAAACGTAAAGATAATGACCTTTTGTGGCGGTGCCTACTTGCTGGCTTATTTTCCAAACGGACCTTATGGTTCTCTATATTTTGTTGTGGGTTCTTTGGTTCTCTACAATTGCCAATCATTGGATTTAGGTTAGAATTCTCCCGATTTATTGGAGTTAAAAGCATATTAAGAATGTCTCTTCTTCACGTCCCATGTACTTTGGAGGCAATGGAAAAGTTTTTATATGTTCTATGGAATTTGTTTTGAATGGTGTTCTTGCCGGTCACTTGGTGGTGGTGCTATGTCGTTACAAGGATGCATTATGGTGTTTATTGATTGTGTTTCTTTTGTGTCCCTTTGATATTTGTATGGTGCTACGGGTTCTCCCCTTGGTATGGGTATCCTCTGTTTATAGATAAGAGGCACGAGGTGATTAATGCTGTTGTCCAGCTTTCCGGGAGTCATGTTTATACGGATTGGTGGACTGCCATGGTTTTGGATCTTGGAGTGCTGTTGGGAAGTACTAATACGTCTGCTTGGTGCTATATACTGCGGTTGCGAATATCGTGTGCCTTCTGGATCTGGAGGTTGTTAGTAACATTATGCCATTTTCTTTCGTCTGTTTTCGTAATGTGAAAGCTCCAAGTTTTCCGATGGTGGAGTTGATTAGGAAGGTAACACGCACAGATTTATGTACTCGTCCCTCTGCCTTACCTGTGCTCCTTCTCATGTACTTGTTGCTTTGATGTTTATAAAATTTTTATAAAATCTTTCTGTTTGCCAAGGTAAAATACATATATATAACACAACTGACACGTCTATTCTCACGCAGCATTACTCCACTCGGCAACCACTAAGATGACTAACTAGAAAATTTTTGAGAACTAAATAGGACTATATAAATAGTATGCTCATCTAGTTAAAATGCATCATTTAAGGAAATTTGTCTCGTTCACCTATTTATAAAAACTGTTAGCAATAAACTTGAATGATGATGCATTTTGATTAGGTGTTGCCTAACACGCCCTATAAAAACTAATGATAAGAAATTGAAACTGATAATTAATGGAGAGCGAGAAGCACTTTGTTCTAGTCCATGGCATGTGCCATGGAGCTTGGTCCTGGTACAAGGTTGTCACTCTGCTCAAATTGGCCGGCCACCGCGTCACCGCCTTGGACCTCGGTGCTAGCGGCGTCAACAGTAAGCGGAATGATGAGATTGCTTCCATCTCCGACTACCTGCAACCATTGATGGACTTCATGGCCTCTCTGCCTCATGATGAGAAGGTGGTCTTGGTTGGTCACAGTTTTGGTGGCTTTGTCATTTCTCTAGCCATGGAAAGTTTTCCAAGCAACATATTGTTAGCAGTTTATGTCACAGCCTTCATGCCAAATTACACATCCCCACCAGCAACTTTAGTTCAAGAAGTAAGCATCTTGGTTAAGCCTTATGTCAAATTATATATATATATATATATATATATATTCCTCGTTGTGCATATACATATGGTAGAACCAAATGTTCATCTACGGTTCAATTTTATTGATTCTAACAGTTTGATTTGATTCTGATAATTATGTGACTGGTTTGGTTTTGATTCATCTCAGAACCAAACCGAACCAAATCTTTTGCTAGTAGGATTCACTAGAAGTCATCTATTTGCTATTTTCCACTTTGTTTGGAATCACCTTTTTTTTTTTTTTTTTTTTTTTTGGGAATTTGGAATTGAAAAAGAAAAAAGAAATGGGATTGGATTTGTAATTAAATCTCATTTTTATGTTTGGAATAACTAGAATTAAATTATAAGGAAAATATTTTTCTTACCCCAATGGAGAAACTAGTTTTTCAGCAGGACCCCAATGGAATCCTTATCGGGCCTCCAGTTTTCGTTTGATCACGGGCAGGAGAACCCGGCAACCTCGGCCATTTTTGGTCCAGATTACATGTCAAGTTTCCTATATCAACATTGCCAATCGGAGGTGAGTGTGCCACAAGCAAAATTTTACCTGAATTAATAGGAAAGTCCAATGCAAAATCTAGTAATATGACTGGTACAACGGATTATTGCAGGACCTGGAATTAGCCAAAATGTTGGTGAGGCCAAGTGGGTTGTTCAAGGAAGACTTGGGCAAGGAATCTCTGCTAACCGAGGAGAAATTCGGGTCGGTGAATCGGGTTTTTGTAGTGTGTGGAGAAGATCAACTGTTGAAAGAGGAATTCCAGAGATGGATGATTCAGAACAGTCCTGCTAAAGAAGTGAAGTTGATAGCTGAAGCTGGCCATATGGTAATGCTATCCAAACCCAAAGAGCTTTGCCTCTGTATCCAAGAGATTGCTGAGAAATATTCAGTTTCTGTAAGCTCTGCCTAAATCTGGGATTTATGGCACAATGTTTATCCAACTAAAACCGGATACTATCTATTATCTTCACATTTGTATGTCAAATGATTAATATTTACGGGGACAAAGAGTCTCCTGAGGGCGAGCCGTAAACTCGGACGTTCAAAGTTCGATTCTTAGGTAGGAGTGACAATGAATCAGCAATAATTTTCACAGCAATCTCCTGCAGGCAGGTGCAGAGCTCCTGAGGCTTGGAGAACATCACCATGTGATCTGAACCGGAGATCACCTTCACCTCGTCCGTTGGATTATTCTCTATCATCCACCTCTGTAAATCCTCCTTAATCACATAAACTCGACGGACCAATCCATATTTCTCCTTAGTATGAGAAATTTCCTTCAACACTTCAGCATCGTTAAATGGAGCAACTGGTCTCACCAACAAGCTTGCCAAAGTAAAATCGTGTTTCATTTCAACCATGGTCAAAAGATATAACATTAGCTCACACCATTTGATCTTCAAAAATCTTATGTCAAAAGGGAACTGTATTGAGATCAAAATGTTGTAGGGACTACAAATATAGCTATATATATATATATGTATATATGTATGTATGTATATATACACGTATATAGATGATCATGGAGCATCAAATAGAATTACCTCGGGTGGGGATAGTTGATACAACTTGGAAGATAAGAAGTTGGGGCCAAAGAGGATCGAGGTTGGAGATTTGTCCAGCCCTTGATCGAACTTATATTGGCTGTCCATATAAGAGTCCAATACTTGATTGAACTGTATAAATTACCAAAGAAAATGTATGATTACTCTTTTACCATCCAAATATGTATCTGGTATTAAAAACAGAAAATATGTAAAGGGTATTTGAAACTGAATAGATATCCAAATTAAAGGCAAATTAGTGTTTCATCTCTTTTTACTATTCTCTCCCTCTGTGTGTGTGTGTTGAACTGAATAAGTTGTTTCATTGTGTCAATTCATACAACAAAGCAAAGTCATTGACAAATTGTCCACACTTGTCTGCTGATAGTAACTTGTAGAATAGGCAACGTTGAATCTATCACAAAATCATGTGACCTAGTTGTATCTCGTCTTATTTAAGAATAAAAGGTGGAGGATTCAAGTTTTCCTTCTAGTACTTCAGAGTAATTTTCCAGGGAAAAAAAAAACCTTGTGTGTCAATATGAAAGCAGTGGAATGTGGTCCATAATTTTCATAAAGAAAGCAGTTTGGCACAGAGCTTTGTGTGTCAATATGACGGCCATGGAATGTTGTGGTCCATAATTTCCATAAACAAAGCAATATGGCAATGAATTTGTCCTGTTCCGGATGGAATCATTCCACTCAATACCAAACAAAAGATATCAAAGTTCAATTTGGATTTGAAATTTAAAATTATTCAATCATTTAAGGAGTGAAATTTCAAATCCAACTTCAATAAATAGGCGTGGGGAAATCAGATAAGATATGTAACGATGCATTTGACATCCTACTGACAAGATGCTACTTATACAAAGATTTTGAAAAAATAAATCACTTATATTTCTATTCTAACATCCTTTGGACATCTGGATCCAACTTCAAAAACCAATATTTCATTTAAATCTCATATTTCTTCATTGCAACTTCATTCACTTAACTAAATGTATCATAAAATTCAGCTTCTTTGGATGAGTCTAGTATTTATATAATTTATAAGTCTACATGAAAATAACTTTTGTTACATATTAATTAAAATAGTCAAACTTATGTGGCAAAAAACATATAAAAGTAGTGTCATTGTTAAATGTACTCTTTCTTTTATAGTTATCTAGAAATTCAAAGAAGGTATATTAAAGGTATGTCAGATGAGATGGTCCTCACTGCCGGACCAACACCATTAACAACAGATAGGATGCATTAACAACCATTCAAATAATTGTTAAAAGGGTTAATTCTACCTATACGGCTTTATATTTGTCCATATTCCACTTACACTCTTTTTATATTTCAATATTTCACCGACCGTTTTTAAAGTTTTGGTTTGTGTAGCAAATTATCCCCTGCGGTTAAGCAACTCAAGGTGTATGCTGATGTCAGCATCATCAAATTGTTAAAAAGTCAATTTTACCCTTTTACTGTCTAAAATGATATCTTTAATCTCAGTTCACCAATACGCAATTACAAAACTACCCTTAGTTAACTCAAGGAATACCCTACCTTTCACTTCAATATATATATATATATATAATCTTCTTCCTTTCACACATAGAGCCATTAATTTAATTAAAAAATAAAATTTTATTTTATTTTAATTTCTTTTTAAATTTTTAATTAAATTAAAATTTTCAATTTGGCCAAGGGTCGAGGCTTATATAATAGTCCTGTTAATCATCAATGAATAAAAATTTCATCCATGAATAATGATCATTTAATATAACTGTAGTTGAATTTCTTAGTCACTTTATGAATAAAAGATTATTACGCTACAGTTATTATCCACACATTGTATATGCATGCATCCAACCAAAGAATGATTAAATAGAGAGAGAAAATCTAAGCATAAACTGGGCTACCTCCACTTAAGATACTTTTTGTCCCCTGAATAATTGTGCAATGTGCATGCCACCATGTGGGTGATGTTATATACCATTATATATAGATATATATATATACCAGAAAGTCACGGTCGAGGGTTCCGGCGCCGACGATGTTGATCAACAGAGCAATGTTGGAGACGCTGTAAAGGCTGGGTCCGGTCTCCCGTCGGAGCACAAGACGCTGATTTTCGCCGCCGATTACGATGCCATCGAGCCTGTAATCCGACGTCCCGCCGCTGAGAGACATTGATTGCGATACCGTAGAGGTTGTAATCCGACACCTGCCGCCGACATCAACTTGGTCTTTAGCGTCGTCTTCCGCAATCGACTTCGCCTTCGATTCTTCGGCATCGACGTCCATTCGGCAGTGGTGGAGGCGGAGGAGCCGACATCTGACTTCGTTTTTCTACACAAGAATGGAATCAGATTCTTGGGGTTGTGATGGTGATGGTTCGGATGGTGACAAAGTTCCAGAGCTAGGCCGAATTCTTCTACAGAGCTCTGGCGTGTCTATGGCCGTTTTGAATTGGGTTTCACCGTGGTGGGCTGAGGAATCTCTGCTCGCCGGACTGAACTGGGTTTGGTCGAACTTAGTTCGTTCTAGCTTTGAGAACGACTGAATCGCTGAATTGGGTTTCGCATAACCAAATTGCTGCTCGCCAGACTGAAAAAGGAGGAATCCTTAGTTAAGTCCAAACGCCGGACTTCAACGCCGTCGAATCTACGGCAGTGTACTCACCGTCGTAACGCTGGACAAGAACGAGGTAAGCCGAATCAAAGGCAACGGCGGCAAAGTTCACAGCTACCTCGACCCAGTTCAGTCCGGCGATCCCAAGTCCGGTGAAGGCCAGTTCAGTCCGGTGGCCTCGCCGGCAACAATGAAGAAGAAAGGGAAAAAAAAAAAAGAAATATATATATATATGTGTGTGTGTGTGTGTGAGAGAGAGAGGGGAGAGAGAAATTTAATTTTTTTTCATTGAGTTATAAATTTTAATATATAATTCAAGGGTAAAATCGTAAAATCACACATTTTCGTTAGTGGGTGGTTACTGACAGGGGGTGTAGGTAAAATTAACCCTTGTTAAAAACGGCCTTAACTCAGGGCACGAGGCTTCAGTTATTGCGAAGTCTACAGGGGAGTCATTATGTACACAGCCTTGCTTCTCCATACTAATGCTATTTCCCATTTAGAAATCGAAACCTTCTGTGTCATAATGGGGAGTAACCTTATTATTGCACCAAACCCTTTCATGTATATTATCCAAAAGAGTCCTAAATAGCATTCAAAAAACTTTAGCAATTCTCAAAATTTATACCCATGGAATTGCAGAGGTATAATTTTGTAGACCTCCGATGCATATTTCCATGCCAAGATCTCTAGTGAACAGTAGTTTTTTTTTTTTTTTTTTTTTTCCGAAGTAAGATTGTGTAAAAGTAATCAGAAGGGGAACGCATTTATCAAAAACTACGTGAGGCCAAATAAGGCCTCTAAACACTCACAACCCAAAATATCAACAATTTCCTCTAATAATAGAAAACTTAAGAGTCCCAATAAAATTCTCGATTCCTTCAAAAGATCTCTTATTTCTCTATAACCATAAGCACCACCAAAGGCATGAGGACGCAACCCTCCAATAATCACAAGCTTGGGCCCTCACTATGCACCCTCCAAACCTCCACCACAGCTCTTGGGGACCTGGGCATGACCCAATGAAACCTAAACAACCCCAATAATAAACCCCAACTGTCCCAAGCCATGGGGCAATTCAATCCTTTTGCAAACAAGATCAAAAAAGTTTAGGGGTATTAAACAATGACTCGACTTTTTTTTTGTAATTGAGTTGAAAAGACAAACACATCGTTATTTGCCCTTTTCCTCTTTTTCTTGCTATGGAAACCGTTTCTCCTCTATATTTATTTCAAACATTAACTAATGCAGTTTAATAATGCACTTCACTAAAAAGGACTCCGTATCGACTCTTTCTCGCACAGTACATGCAAAGAAAGACTGCTCATCTGCTCCATACACTTTTAGATATTTCTTTCATTTTATTTTTTTTCCCATTTTTATGTTCTCTTTATTGCGACTTATTAATTGATAACTAGGTGAAGAGCGAAGGCAAAATTCAAATTTAGATTTTTGCATAGATTATAAAGTTTATAGTTTGACTTCTCAGAACATAACTAACCAGCCAACCAGCCAATGTAATTATTTGATTTCCTTTCAACAATAATATGCAGTTTAATATGAAGTTTAATGATTGTACCTAGTTAAATGACACAATTATTTTCTTGAAATGATTTAAAGATTTAAAAGAAGTCATCCTTTCATGGAAAATTAAATAAATATATGCATATAAATCTTGTGTTCCTCCTATTTAGTATATAATTATACTCAAATTAGGGACGTAACAGAAGATACTCTAGTAAAATCATTCTACAATCTATAACTATGTTAATATGAGATAGATCGTAGATAGAGAGAGAGAGAGTACCTCTTGATCGATAGTAGGAAAATCTAAGTTGGGACCGGGCATGAAAGCAGTGATAAAAACAACAATAGATATTTTTTCAGGATACCTCTCCATGGCCATAGATAAGAAGATCCCGCTGTTGGGAAACGTGCAAGTTTTAAAATATTTTTGAGGGATTTTGATTCATAGATCTTGATACATCACATAGAGACAAGTTTTATGCAAAAATAAAAATATGATGTATCATTCAATTAATGGATTGAATACTTACATCAAAGGTCTGAGTAAACCTTTAAATCTTTCCTCTAAAGTGAATGTTCTCACTTATTGTAGATCCCTTAGCAAGATGCCTTCTCCTTGGATCTCCATCTTCTTGGTAATTGTTTTGCCTTTAGGAATCACTCATAAGCCTCCATGAATGACCTTGGAAAACTAGGCTTGTGGGAGCCTCCATTAGATGAGAACATAAACCCTAATTTTCTAGAGAGAGAAAATTTATTCCTTTTTCCTTCTCATAAAAATCATACCAAAATATACATAGACCATGTATATTTATAAGCAACATAAAAATAAAGAAAAGGAAACAACAAATCCTTCTCAATCTCTAATTCATATGTCTCAAATCTAATATGATTCCAATATCAAGTTGGGCTATGAGTGAGAATCCACTGGGCCTATTATTTTATTGGCTACAATGAATTAATAATTGGCCCAGTCCATGGACCCAATTCAATTAATTCATAAATTAATTTCTACTCCACTAAAAGAAATTAATTGAACTCCAATTAAATAATAAATAACCTCTAAGTCAATATTGCACTTTGACCCCTCTATGCTTAATTAGTTATCGGATAAATAAAGTCATCAATCCGACTACTTAATTAATATATTTATTTTGGTACCATTGATTATTTCTGACTTGATCACAATAAAACATTTGTTTGACAAAAATAATAATTTAAATAAATAAATATATAATAAATCATTTTGTCTAAAAACACACGAAGGCCTTCTAATTTACTTTGTGATCAACCATAATCAATACAAAATAAATAAAAGTAGCAATGATACAAATATTGAAAATATAACCCTCTAATTATTAATTACATAACTACCCAAAGTGTCGGTCTAAGGATCCCGAAGAATCCGCCGAACAAATCAAAGTAATTATTAATTAATAAAAGAGTCTATAATTTTCTCATGCTTAAGAGTCAAATGCCATGACGGTGATAGGGAGCAATTGCATATGACGGCTCTCGCAATATATCTCAACCTAACGCGGATCCAGTTCAAATCTTAATTAATTATGAGTCCATCCATAATTAGCGACTATGAACCATTTATAATTACTATTTATATATCATGCATTGATTGCCATCACATACATATATATAAATATCTCTTGTAATCAAATGGACACTATCAATTCTATAATGAATCGAAATATAATACATTGAATTCACTAATTGTATAAAACATAAATATTTCAGAAACGTCAGGAACATATGTCACTTTAATTTAAACAGGAATTTGCTATGCCAGGGCATATAAATCCCAACAGCTCCCACTTGCCCTCATAGCCAATTCAAATTGCACTTAACTCCAATGTTATCCAAATGATGATCAAAATTATTGATCAATGACACCTTTGATAATGGATCAACAAAGTTGTGTTCCAATGCAATGTTTTAGCTACAAGTACATTTTCTTGCCGGACAATATCATGTAGAACATGATACTTCTTCTCAGTGTATCTTGTTCCTCTATAGAAACTTGGGTCATTGGTTTGGACTACTTCTGTACTATTGTCACAACATAGCTCAATAGGCAAGCTAGTATACTCCACAACCTCTAAAACAGTGAGATCAAACCAATAGGCTTCCTTTGCCGCCTTTAAGGCTGCAATATATTCCACCTGTAGGTTTGAGTCAGCAGTTGAAATCTGCTTAACAATCTACCAACTGATTTCCTTTCCATTAAGTGAACATACACAAAGTCATGAACTTCATAGTATCTACTTCTGATTGAAAATCAAAGCTAGCATACTTGACTAGGACCATATCATCACATCCATAAATGAGTATGATATCATTGATTCTCCTTAGGTACTTAATGATATTTTTCACAACAGACCACTTATCAAGCCCAGGATTGAACTGATATCATCTGACTATCCCTACAATGTAGCGGATGTCCTGTTCGGTATAGACCATGGCATGTATGAGACTCCCATATGCCAAAACATATAGTTCCAGCCTCATTTGCTCAATCTCCTCTGCTAGTCTTGGAAAACTACTTACTAGAGAGAGCAATCCATATCAATAAAGCAAGAACTCATTCTTTGAGTTATGCATACCAAACCTGGTCAAAACTTTTCCAATGTAGGATTATTAAGATAAGCCTATTTTCCTTTTAACCTGATCTTGCAAAAGCTTGATCCTAGGAATATAGCTTACATCTTGAAAATCCTTTATTTAAAAGTAATTGAACAACTACCTCTTTATCGATGACAAAACTTCCACATCATTCTAAATGAGTAGGATGTCATATATAAATATAGAATCAAAAAAAAAATAATGACATTCCCTTGTACACCCATGATTTATTCACTAAAAAATCTTCTGGTATCTTTTTGTAGATTAACTTGCCTTCCATAGGAATCACCCTACTAGAAAGTTCTACAAGATCCCAGAATTTATTAGAATACATAGATTCCAACTCTGATTTCATAGTAACTCGCCAAAACGATCTGTATCCATATCGGTTCACGCTTCCGTGTAACTTACTGGGTCCAACTCATGTTTAACAGGGATGTCCATAATGGTCTCACCTAAAACCATGATTCTGTCTGATTGGATAATAATCCTCCCACTAAATTAATGGACCGATGCAGGAATCTGTGTACTAGATGATGCTTACGCATCAATAGGGAATTCATTTATTATTCTCAATCTCTATTATAATAAGTGTGTTCATATGTGGTACATCTGGTACTCATTCCATATTCTCTAACACTATGCTACTAGGTATATGATTCATAATATGATTCTCCTATAGATAAACAGTGAGTGTAAACAATCAACTTTTATCATTGAGATCATAAAATAATCCATCCTAGTGACCTTTAGAGTAGCTATCAAATCTATCATGCGTATAATCTGTTTCCAACGTACTTGTCCATATCAAGCGCACATATGCAAGACTACCCTATATGTGCATGTGATTCAAACTAAGATTTAGTCAAAAACACAGCTCAACGGTATCCTTGAGACAGACTAAGATGGAATGCAGTTCATAATGCGCATCGATGTCATTAACGCTAAACTCTTAAATAAAAGAGATAATGTTGCATAACTGATCATATATCTAACCATGTTAAGCGGAATTCTGTTATTCCTATTTGACACCTAAATGCATTTAGCGTCAATTGCGGAAAACTGGTACACAACACCCTCATTTTCCATATAATCTTTACACTATCCCAAGAAATACTCATATCTTCGATCAGATCGAAGTGTCTTGATAAGTTTACCTAATCTGTGCTCCACATCAGTCTTGACCCTCTCGGAATATACCAAAAGTATAAGACTTGTGTCGCAACAGGTAAATTTATCCAAAACGTGAGTAATCTTGCTTGGATGTTCACAAGACCACACGTGTTTGTGTGTACCGACTCCAATTGTCCTTTATGTCTATTTCATTTGGCTGATTAAGCCCTTAGAGTTATCTATCCTTCAAAACAGGATTCACAAGTTTGGTTTAGGCTCCTCTGCCTCACTAGGTTATAAACCTTCTTTGACCAATCTTTGAATCTCATTTTGATTGATAACAACCCAAAAATAGACATTAAAAATACAATGAGTCAGAAATAACAAATTTTCTCTTAACCTTCAATCTAGAGATGCAACATTAGTTTCTACATCCTGCAAATCTTAAGAGTTTGTGATTATAGTATATTAACCATCTTTCAATGCACCAGAAGCAATCGCATATCTATTCAATTTTATAAAACCAGTTTTACAAAATAACGATCTAGTTTTTATAAGCTACAAGTGAAACAAAAATTAGATAGCGTCTAACCTCTGTGCATAAAGATAATTCTCTAATACTAATATCCTCATACTCTCTAATTTCAGATGTAATACTCCCACTGATTTAGCTACAACCTTGACATCAGGTCAAGTACAAATATATTCCATATCATCGAGGCTTCTGGATTCCTGAAATCCGTACAATGAATTGCAAACATGTTTAGTGGCTCCAGAATCTATTCATCAGAAATTAATAGATACAACCACATAACATGGCTCAATGATTAAATATATATATTTTCCTATGCCACGTCATTGCTTAGATAGTTTGTCCTTTAGTGTCTTAGTTAGCGACAAAAGAAACAGTTTTCTTTGCCCTCAACATACACTGCCTTATTCCCTTTAACCTTTTGGATATCCATATTTTGTGCTAGCCTAGTCCTATTATCATCTTTTGCCCGTCCACTTGGGCCTAAAAGAAGATGGTATAGACTAGGTTAGATTGATAGGAACGCCTATACTTTTAATTATCCCTTCATATGTTACCAATTCTATAAGAATATCAGCGAGTGTGAACTCAAACTGATTCCTTATTTAGTTCACTCTAACAGAGTCGAACGAGTTTGGTAACAAGGCAATAATCATGTCAACTTGAAACTTACCACCCAAGTCAGCCCTTTTGATCTCCAGCTAATTTTAAATAATAAACAATCATTTTCCAAAATTTGATTTCAAACTGGAGTTCATGAGGCTATCTTGATGGTATTTAAATTTGACACAGTACTTAGGCATATGCTCTATCTAATCTCACCAAAATATCTCATTGACATTTAATATGATGCTTGAAGAAAATAAAATAATACAAATGTTAGCTTTGGAGTATATTCGAGCTAAACTCTAGAATATTGCACCAAGTCATATCATTTGCCTTATCTAATTTATTAAAAGCATTAATGTCAAATTTGGTATCTCAAAGTAAAAGAGATAGGTATAGGAGTAATAAACACATTTTGTACCCTTACGTTGTAAATAAAATATCTAAGTTCATTTTCCAGTCATTATAAATAAGGTCCAATATCATAGAATATGTAAGCAAGCAGATAAAATGGATTAGACATAATTCATCTGAATATAAATGCATTCATACAACATGCAAGGTGAATTATTAATACTGTCATACATATTTAAAATTAAAATGAGTTTGTTAACCACATAATATAATAAATCTCAATCGAATAAGAGATCATTATCATTATTGGTGAATAATCCCTTTTAATTAATGCGGGTCCCTCAACTCTGTAGCATAATAAATCAACCAATCAATATGTCAATAACTTATCCTGTTGGAGGAGTTCATTATTACTATTGTTGAGATTCATTTACTATTAGGCGAGCACTTCCATTAAAATAGTATGTGGGTCCCTTAACCACTGCATGAAAAATCGAATAACCAATACGCCAATAACTTATTCGGTTGGCGAAGTTCATTATTGTTATTGGTGGGCAAATCCCATCATTTCCATATCTCTTAAGACAATGCCTTGTCTATCTATATGAAATGATTCCCGATTATGTTTAGCCTTTCTAAAATCATCTAGTATAGACCACTCCGTTGGGGAGCTAACACTATTGATTTTAGATTGAGTGTATAACGTTATTAATGCTCTAATGAAAAATAAAATATTAAATATCTTGTCATTATAATCTAGACTCTTTAAATCATGCGTAGGGCCTTATTTTTAAAAATCTAATTACAATGAACATTTAATATTATTATTTTCATGAGATAACCATTCTTGTAATATTTAGACTCTTCAAATCATGCGTGGGGCCTTATTTTTGAAGACCTAATTACAATGGTGTTAATAACAAAGGCCATGGGGCAATGTATAAAATCCCCGCTCCCACTCAATTTTTAATCATTCATAATTAGGGTTTTCATTTTATTCATTTACATGATATAATGCATGCAAAACATCTTGATTTTAATCCAATTAAATTTAGAAAATATTTGGACTTTAAATGATTCACTAATATTTAATTTGAAGCACACTTTAAAAAATAGTTTACAAAAAAATAATTTTGCGTTTCCCAATAAGTGCCCTCAAATTAATTAGTAATCAGATCCACTTAATTTTCATAATTTAATTAATATAAATCAAGTCATTTAATTAAATATCATGGATCCAATGCATGAACAATAATAATTAATAATTATTTATTCCATGCATTTCATACATCACATAAATGATCAAGCAAATAAAAAACGGCTAATGGAATCAGCTTTTAACATCTAAAACCTATTCTTGCTGTGCGGGCGTCCTTCAATAGTCTGTAAACATCCATAGGAAGCTTGTACGCGTTAGGAGAAGTAAAATACTGCTTGAAACGAACACCGAGGACCCCACACGCGCTCACACGCGCCTGGAGCAAGCAGAAGGACAACACACGAGCCCGCACGCGCTCCCACGCGCTGGCACGCGCCTGGGACGCGCCCCCACGAGCTGGCATGCGCCAGAGGCGCGTGGGACGCACCTCCACACGCCTGCACGCGCGTGGAGGAGTGTAGCTTTGGCTGACATAGTCAGTGCGTGAGCTCCACGCGCCTGAGGTGCTGACTTGGTCAGCGCGTGAGCTCCACGCGCCTTGTTTTTTTTTTCAGCTATGACGGCGCGTGATCTTCACGCGCGCTTCTTGTGAGGCTGCATACCATCCTCCATGTAGGTGCGCTGCACCTTATCAACTCTAGGGCTGACTTTGATCCAAGGGTCCTGATAGCGGTTGCACCAAATTCTTGTGTACCGCGAAGTATGTGATCATCAGTCCTCCTATCTCCGGCCAATACCTCGCCGCCGGCAATTTTTCGGTCGCCGGAAAAACGCCGAAAATTCCAGAAAATATTTAAAAAATTCCAGAAAATATAAATTAAGCCAAAAAAATTCCAGAAAAATTCCGAAAAATGTCGGAAAAATTTCAGAAAATTCATAAAGCCTAATTTAACCCTTTTAGACCTTCTTGAAGCTTCATAGCACCCTTTGATGAATATTACATGGCTTTAAATAAATTTACAATTTGAAATACAATGGAAAAAATTAAATTACATCATTGAACTTTCAAACGGCTAAATCAAAGCCTTAATTACATTCATCCAAAAATAAAATTACAATCCAATAACCTATAAGCTTCATCCATGGCCCAACCATTCATCAACATTCATCCAATCACAAATATACATACATCATGATCATATAAAAATATATACATATGCATATATAAATTTGGATCCATGAATGATGATTTTCATAAAATCATAATCTCTAGTAATGAATCAAACCATGCTCTGATACCACTGTTGGGAAACGTGCAAGTTTTAAAACCTTTTCGAGGGATTTTGATTCATAGATCTTGATGCATCACATAGAGACAAGTTTTATGCAAAAATAAAAATATGATGTATCATTCAATTAATGGATTGAATACTTACATCAAAGGTCTGAGTAAACCTTTAAATCTTTCCTCTAAAGTGAATGTTCTCACTTATTGTAGATCCCTTAGCAAGATGTCTTCTCCTTGGATCTCCATCTTCTTGGTAATTGTTTTGCCTTTAGGAATCACTCATAAGCCTCCATGAATGACCTTGGAAAACTAGGCTTGTGAGAGCCTCCATTAGATGAGAACATAAACCCTAATTTTCTAGAGAGAGAAAATTTATTCCTTTTTCCTTCTCATAAAAATCATACCAAAATATACATAGACCATGTATATTTATAGGCAACATAAAAATAAAGAAAAGGAAACAATAAATCCTTCTCAAGCTCTAATTCATATGTCTCAAATCTAATATAATTCCAATATCAAGTTGGGCTATGAGTGAGAATCCATTGGGCCTATTATTTTATTGGCTACAATGAATTAATAATTGGCCCAGTCCATGGACCCAATTCAATTAATTCATAAATTAATTTCTACTCCACTAAAAGAAATTAATTGAACTCCAATTAAATAATAAATAACCTCTAAGTCAATATTGCACTTTGACCCCTCTATACTTAATTAGTTATCGGATAAATAAAGTCATCAATCCAACTACTTAATTAATATATTTATTTTGGTACCATTGATTATTTCTGACTTGATCACAATAAAACATTTGTTTGACAAAAATAATAATTTAAATAAATAAATATATAATAAATCATTTTGTCTAAAAACACACAAAGGCCTTCGAATTTACTTTGTGATCAACCATAATCAATACAAAATAAATACAAGTAGCAATAATGCAAATATTGAAAATATAACCCTCTAATTATTAATTACATAACTACCCAAAGTGTCGGTCTAAGGATCCCGAAGAATCCGCCGAACAAATCAAAGTAATTATTAATTAATAAAAGAGTCTATAATTTTCTCATGCTTAAGAGTCAAATGCCATGACGGTGATAGGGAGCAATTGCATATGACGGCTCTCGCAATATATCTCAACCTAACGCGGATCCAGTTCAAATCTTAATTAATTATGAGTCCATTCATAATTAGTGACTATGAACCATTTATGATTACTATTTATATATCATGCATTGATTGTCATCACATACATATATATAAATATCTCTTGTAATCAAATGGACACTATCAATTCTATAATGAATCGAAATATAATACATTGAATTCACTAATTGTATAAAACATAAATATTTCAGAAACGTCAGGAACATATGTCACTTTAATTTAAACAGGAATTTGCTATGCCAGGGCATATAAATCCCAACACCCGCCCCTGCTGTGACCCACCAGAACCACTCTATCATCCACCGGCAGATGATTCATGAATTCCATCAACGGCTCACAGTAGTCCAACAACGAGCAGACCTCATCCAGCCGCTTAGGGTGAACTCCAGAAGCAGCCATGTCCAGAGCAGAGACCCCGTGACCTGCTGATCTTAGCAGCGTTGCCAATTTGTACCTACACCATGCTCCATGACAAGCTCCATGAACCAACACAAAATGCCTCTCAACCTTGTCCATCTCCTTGCTCTTGATAGCCTTTGTTCAGAATTCATTTTATTCTGTGCTTAATAGCTGAAAAGTATAACGGTAATTTCAGCATCTTGTTAACTCATTTTATATGACATATTCTTTTGCCGTACTCATCTAATATACAAATTAAGGACTAAAATTTAGCATTTTTTATTAGGGGTGTTAGATATTGGAATATTATTCACGTTGAGACTTTTTTAAATGTGGTGTAATTTTAGATCATCAGAACACACCAAGTGAAAAGTGATTTTAGAAATTATCATTAAAAATATATTAAAATAAAATAAAATAATAAATTCCACCTTTACAATTTCAACATTTTGAAATAAGTTTTTCAGCAAATTTTCAAGATTATGGAACAAAACCTTTGAGAATACTTTCTAATTTATTGAGAGATGGAGCTTAGGACAATTAACAGAATAGCTAATGAATTTGACCTTATTATATGTGGTGATAATAAAATAGCATATACTTATAAATTTGACACCAGCATGATAGCATATTGGCACCTTCTGTTGGGAGTTTGTGCGCAGCAGAATAGTTGAGGAATAATATGGATAGATAACCTGGAGAGGATAGTCAATAAATTTAACTTGCTTTTTTATTCTTTTTTTACTTATTTTAATTTTACCAAAATAAAACTAAAATCAAACTACAAAGCAAAAATAAAGTGTAAGTAGAGTAAATAGAGTTTGAGAGATGACACCAGGATTTTAGCGAGGAAATCCTAATTGGTAGAATAGACCAATTGTAACAGGAAAAACCTCGTTAGACTTTACAGTCCTGAGATAAATGATCCACTATATTTGAATCAAAGTATACTGAACTTTGACTTAGTTTCACACTCTATTGTTCTACCAAATATCAATTGCTGAGAATCCATGGCTTTGCGACTCTCTTATCCAACAGCTCTTGACCTCAGGCTTACCCTCGATCTCTGTAGAAGAGTTGCAAGTAGATCAGACAACACTCCACAAATGCTCTGACCCTTTCAAAGTGTGATCGCTTCACTCCTTTTCTTCTAGATCTGAATTTGACGAAGAACAAATGAATTCTGCTTTTCGGAATTTCTGAATCTTCAATTATACTTTAATCTCGCTGAGATAGAGAACAACACTACTAAATTACTCTTGTGTTTATGTGTGTGCTCTAAAAAATAAAATCAGAAAAATCAGATTGATTTTCTGAATAAAAATATCTCTCAAAGATAGCTCTCTAATAGATCTGAATTTAATATTCAAAAGCCGTGTCTAAAAATATCTTTTTAAAGGCTTTCTCAAAATATAGAATTGATGTTCCTTAAAGTCATATATAAACCTATGTGTATGACAAGGTTTATATAGAGTTTAGAATGTCCTAATCCCTCTGAAAATATGGAAAAATTCATGCATAGGACTTGGTATAATTCTAGACTAACTAGGAAAGAAATCTGAAACAGGAAACTAAACTTTCCATAAGCTGTCAGGACACTTGAACTAGTTCAGGAATGTGGGAACCGGTTCAAGTATGGCAGAATAAATTTCGAGGCCAGTGATGAAGACTTGAACTGGTTTAAGAAAGTGGGAATTGGTTCAAGTAAGGCAGAATGATTTCTAGGCCAAATTTAAATTGCTTGAACTTGAATTTAAATTTCTAGCATATACTTATAAATTTGACACTAGCATGATAGCTGTAATATTTCCATTTTTCACCATTTTTTCATTTTTTCAAAATTTTTGTTGGCATTTTCGTCTTTTTCCGTTTTGCGTACCGGACACTGTGGAGTGTGCCGGTTGTGTCCGAGAGTTGACTAGGGCATTTCATTGAGTTCAAGACTCTTTGAAATGCAAGGGTTGTTATTTTTGCACTTTTTCGTTTTTCAAGTCGGACGGTCCCGTGTGGGACCCGCCACCGAAATGGTTGTGCACGGGAATTTTAGTTGGGTATATTTGCATCTTATAAATTTTATTTTATGTGTTTTATGTGATATTTTAAATAGTTGTGTGCATATATATACTTTTATGGTGCAAAAGAAAAGTGAAAAGTGATTTTTTTAGTGGGACTCACTTTCCACTAATTAAATTAGTGGCCAAGAGGCCATGTGGCCTCATTCTTTTCTCTCTCCCCGTTATATCCCTCTCTCCCTCGCATTTCTTCATTTTTCTTTTTCTTTCTCAAAGTAAATTTCAACCTTAGATTTCTCCTTTAATTGTTGGAATTTTTGGGTGTCGTTTGCGGCAAATCGAAGAGCTCGGTGAGATCTTCAAGTTGATGTAAGCAATTTCAACTTTTGACCACTCTAGGAATTTCGAAAATTTGAACCCATTTGAGGGTTTTCTACAAAATTAAGGTAGGGGTTTCTAATTCCCACTCTCTTGCACCTTTGTGAATTTTTCTATTATAATTGTTGTCAAGCATGCTTGATTTGAGTTGATTGCCTCTAAAATGACTTAATTATTGTATATGAAGTTCATGACTATGTATATAAGTTGATTTGTATGAAAAGCAAGCCTAAGTATTAATTTTCTATGCCTAATGTGTTTATTAACTTGCTATAACTTGTTAGATAGAAGCATGCTTATTTATGAAATATGAAAACCTTTATTGTCATAGCATTTAAAGCATGAGACATACATGCATATCATTGGGTATGAATGAAGGGAAATGATTTGAAACAGATGAAAAAGGAATTTTGGGAAAAGTTTTGGATAAAGTGGTTTTGAGAAAACCCGGACGCCGAGGAGGTACCGAAGGTCCGTGGAGTTAATATAACCTAGAGGGAATTAGGGAAATCACCCTAGTGTGGTTGAGCTATTTGGGCCCCAAATGACACCGCGGAGGTACCAAGGGTTAGGGACAGTAACCAATCCTTCTCTCATGTTATTGCGGAGTCACCAATGGACAGGTTATATTAACAGTTTGAAAATTGATGGATGATTTTGAAAATGGGAAGCGACATAGCATCGCATTGCATTGCATAGCACCATATTGTTCATTTGGATTTGAAATTGATGTTGTATTTCTCCCAGTTTAGCATGATCTCATTCTCTATTACTTTATTCATTGTTTAGATTTACGGAGTCACAAGAGATGTGTCTTAGGTACCACCTACTGAGCAATTTGCTTACCCCTTATATTTAACATTTTTTAGGTCATGGGAAGGAGGTGGCGGATGACAATCCACCACAAGCATGATGGGGTACTAAAAGTCCATTTTTGTTATCTTTTGTATCTTTAAGCCATTCTTTGGTAAAAGCTCAATTTGGAATGTATTTAAACTTGCTAGCATGGCCTTGTAATTCAACTATGAGCCTTAGCTCTATTTCGATATAAATTGATCTAAATGTAAAAATTATGCATAATTTCTTCATTGGAATGGTTTCGTTGATGTTGTATCATATTAAAAATGTTGATGACCATGACCATATTAAGTAATTCTATCATTTAAAGTGTTTTTAGAACAAGTTTGATGCAGATTGCAAAATTTCCCATAGGCTACCATTCATTTTCAGGTTCACAGCATTTCAGCAGTTGAACCACAGCTCAAAGAACCATTTCGGTCGACCGAAATGAGCACTTCGGCCGACCGCTTCTTCCAATAGCCTCAGCTACTGTTGGGGAGCACAGCCGGTCGACCGGTTGGTCACTTCGACCGAAATGAGCACTTCGGCCGACCGCTTCTTCCAATAGCCTCAGCTACTATTGGGGAGCACAACCGGTCGACCGGTTGGTCACTTCGGCCGACCGGTTTGGGAGTACTAGCTTTGGCCGACCGAAGCTCCACTTCAGTCGACCGAACTGTGCTGCCTGGTTCCATTCTTGTTCTATTCTTCGGCAATTGTTACTCTAAGCCTTGGGATGTTGTTCAAAATCTTCTAAAGGTATAATTCAGGTGTAATGGTGACGCTTTGACACTAGAAGTGATGTGGATAGATTTAGGTGCCTCGGGTTTGAGTAAGGACCCAATTAACGGTTCGAACCTCTAGGTTCGGATCATTAAAATAGCATACTGGCACCTTCTATTTGTCTAGAAGATATAATCTTGCATCGTCAAAAACAATAGGACAATAAACAGAACAGCTAATAAATTTGACCTTATTATATGTGACAATAATATAACATCATGATGTAGTTACAAAAGTGGCAATAGCACGATAGCATACTGGTATCTTTCGTCTAGAAGATATAATCTTCCATCGTCAAAAACAATAAACCATCCCCACCCCAAAAGAGAAACCTGACTTATTTTTGCAGGCACAAATCTTCCTACAATGTTCCTGAGCTGTTTTCAATTAAGTTAGTATTTATAAACCTGAATCCTTCACTATACACGATTGTTGAAGACAATAAAAATATTTGCGAGGCACCAACCTAACCAGCATTACCTCCCATAAGGAAGCGCTGCAGCCTCAAAAAACCATGGCCAAGCAGCGAAGCCTATAAAAAGAATACAGAACATTTAAACCATTCCCTATATTTATCTTTATTTCATGATTCAATATGGTTTATACAAAAACAATATGAACAAGACTTTTGAAAAATGAGTAACTATGTACTTCATCAAGAAATTACGCAAACATTACAGCAACAGTGCCAAACTAGATCATTAGAAAGTGGGTTTGAACGAACCAGTATCTGAAGAAATCAAAAGAGCAATAAAAATTGCACAGGACAATTTAAATAAAGTTAATTCATTTCCATCACTTTCCAGTTTCATCTCAATTTAAATGTAGGCCAATTTTCTTCACTAAGACACAATAAAATTAACTGAACAATGACGAATAATAATAATCTGTAGTCACAATTTTTCCTATATAACAGAAAATGATGACAACAACCATAATTCCCATGTCCACATAACATAAACCAACCGATTTTTTTTTTTTTTTTTTTTTTTTTTGTGCAAACCAACTGATATTCAGAAACTAAATAAAATCCAACCATAAATTATCTAAGGTCTCTTTATATAGAAGGTCTCTTTAGATAGAATGGTAACAAACTATGAGCAC